GATATACGTTGTGACTGTGATGGGTAAGTTGGAAGGAGGAGGAGAGATAAGACCTTTTTATGATACCATAATCATTATGATTATCATCATTGAGTAGTATGCCAAGCTCAGGATCAAAGAGTGTGATGCACTCGCGGATGAATAAAAGTATTTTTATGCAGTATTCATTTTCGGTGGAATTATCACATGTGCTTCAGCTTCTAAAAGATGAATAAAGACCTTCTCCCAAATAATAGAGTCCGACTCCTGTGAATTGTTTCATCATACTTTGATGACCAACACGAAACCAACGGCATGCGTCTACTGTATTCGAGGATAATATGGGTGAGAACAGAGATGAAGGGGTAATATTATCGGATGAACTTTCAATTATCCACACAACGAAGTCTAGTAAATATGAATTCACGGTATTAATGCAGTGCTTGATGATGATGTTGATGATGATGATACATTGACAATATTCCATTGTCACAATATGATGATGGACTACTTGTAGATGAACATCATATGAGTATAATACGCGAATAGCAAATGTTAAGTGAATTATTGCTAAGGGATTTGAATTTCGTTAAGGAATGGACTTCAAAGGAGTGTGAACAACAACAACAACAACATTATCATCATGAACAATTGGGGTCTACTTCAGCCATCTACTGGAGACATCGTGATTATCCGCTCATCCTGTTGATGCTCATCTTTTCCTATCCTACACGAATCATCATCATCATCACCATTAATACATCTACAATAACTTTGTATCGGTTCCTGAGGTTTAATGATAACAATATGGGCGTAGATCAAAGACTACCATTACGCCGGCATGTCGAGCTTTAATCTCCATCTCAACTTCATCATCATCATCATTAGATCCTGGTGTACTGCTAGTAGTACTCTCCTTAGTAACATCATCATCATCTTGATGATGTTGTTGTTTTTTCCAATGACGACTAATGTGATTAACTACGGGTACACCAGTACTATGAATATCCTGTGTTGTATGATTAACCAACTTGAAGTGAGCGGTTCCATCAAACATAGCAGCCCAAGACCACATTGGAAACTTCACTGCATACCGTCTCCAAGTAAGTGAGTTTAGAGTAAAAGATGGTGTATCAGGATTAAGTCTATCTGTAGCCTCGACATAAGCAGGGTAGATACTAGCAGGTGCCTTTGGTGTTGCTGCTGCCCCTTCTCCTGCTGTTGCTTCCTTGTTATTATCCTCTAATGAGTAATCCTTCTCTCTGATAGCATTATCATAAGTCTCATCTATCCATAATCTACATCCAGGTGGTACTATTAGAGCACTATCAATAGATACAAGAAGATCTGCTTGTATATTACCATATACTAACCTTTCACGGAAAGGTCTAATAGATTCAATACCCGCATTATCACATAATTGCATTAATAGTTTACCACGTGTATCAAGAAAGTCTACCATTGATTGTTGTGCTAGAGATGCTAACATAGCCCCTGCACGAATATGAACAGGAACATCCTTTATACCAAGATTAGGGCATGCCAATAGTAACTAATAAACATATTCCCTTACTACTACTACTATTAAAGAAGACTAATTCCTACCAATTTATCAAGGATAAGCCCTCGGGCTATAAAGTAATCAGGATACTTCTCAAACAGGTTTCGGAGAGCCACTCTGATGTACCTATTGGAAGGTAATAGTAGTATTGGTAGTATGATGATAATTACAGTTATTACAGTCCCCCGAGAGAATGGCCTATGAAAGATATTGTACTTCCTTTTGGTAAAGCATCGAAATATGGTATACATTCAGTTAGGAGACGGAGACCACCAGGTATAACTCCATCACTAGTCTTACCAACATTTGATTGTATCATGATAGGAAGAGCACCACTTGTAGTATATATAGAATAAGCTAAGTTATGTAGATCGTATGGATGACCCCAAAGACCATGTTCATAAAATACTACATCCACAGGCTTGGACACTAAATAATAACAAGATAATCCTATGAACATGTTATATACACAACACTACTACTTTTCTTAAAGTCCTCAACAGTAAATATAGGTACAGTAGTATGTACCCTATTATACCCATCTCTTGAGTAGTACTCTGGGGTAATAGAGGTTGCATCACTACGGATTGCTCCATTATTAACATCATTATCAAGTAGGTCAGTAGTAGTAGTACTAGACTTGTCCACGTTATATGATGATTGATTATTACCCATATGAAGTAGTAGTTAATCCCTGATATTGGGTACACTATCTTCATGATTATAAACACAACAAGTATGGTCATGAACACTACCACTACCACCATGCTGGCAATGCTGGTCATTATGATATATTGTTCATTGCCGTTTTTGTTGTTGTTGCTGATATTGTTGGTATTAGGAGTATCACTAGGAAGGTGATACAGATGATTACTATACATAATCGGGTCTTTTGAGCCGATCTTTGATGCTTTCGTGCACTTATAAGACTTCTTTCGGCCTCTGCCGTATGGTGCTTTGCATTTACCACATTGAATTCTATATTATCTAATATCTCATTCTGAATACCATAAATCCTACACATTATCTGTGAATAGATAATACCTGTTGGTGTACTAATACAGCCATTTCCATAAAGAGTTGCCTTAGATCTACTACTGCCTCCTCAAGACTCCTAAGGTCCGAGTATCTACCATAACAACTACTACTATTCCCTACTACTACCTACTACTACTACTACTTATCCTGCATATTCTGCAATTTGTTAATCATACATACATGTGCATCTATTGAGGTGCCTCCTTCCCTTATCATCATCTTCTGTTGTAAGACCTTGGATGGTCGTACACCAGAGTGTATGAGCTCATCTATCTACTACTCAGGGTATACTACCATCATACTACTATTACTACTACCTCCTCTATAGTTGCATCAGGAAGGGTCATACGTAGATTGTTGAAGGCTCTAGACTTAACATACTTGGTAAAGTCAGACTGAGCTAGTTGATATTCTGTTATCTGATCAACAACATCTCCATAACCATGATGATGATTATGGTACTATTACCAAAGTATTGAACCTAGTACAAAGGCCTTTATAGGTAGTATCCCTAACCTTAATGTCTACTGTAGCCTTTGGAGCTACTTCCTAAGAGTAATACTCAGTAATCTAGTACTATTACTACTAACCTTACCATAAACTCCTCATTACGTATTCTGATATCGTCTATACTACTCTTAATTACAGTCATAAGCCTATTAGTTATTGTTATAACATCTTCAACTTGTCTTCTTACTATAGTCTCCTTATCAGTTGATACAACCTATTAAGTACTATATTTAACTCCTACTATTATTATTACTACTTACTTTAGCCATATCATCATGACCCTTCCTAATACAATTGATATTATGTTGTGCCTCTGCCATTGATTTACGTATATCCCCGATCTCATCAAAGAAGGTTGACATAAGCTCTACCCTTTCCCCTACCATTATACTACCTTTTATGCACCTGCTTATTATTATTTTTACCTTCAGTAACTCCTCCTCCTCCTATTGCTCTAGCATAGTGTAACCAGGAAAGTATAGACTTACTAGTCGGGGGCTCTTTATCCCTACTACCTTCATTATTGTGTATTAATACCACACCAAAGGCTACTCGAGCCCTCTAAATAAGAGGTATGACAGAGTGCATATGCATGATATACCACCTCCTGTAGTTCGAGTGTCCTATCCTTATAGACCATACATTAACTAACTCTTGTAATACCAGTACTACTTATAACACAAAAAGAAGAAGAATGATTACGACAAACTGAGGTAGTAGTAGTAGAAGTAATAGGGTTAATCATCGAACAAACCGCTAGCCAATGGTCTACGATGTTGTTGTTGTTGTTTCCCACCTTTGGATACAATATAGAACAACTCAGCATGTACCAATACCTACCTCTACTAGTCCTCCTTGGTGTTAGGTCAACAACATCATCATCATCATACCCGAAGAGCCCTCCAGTTGTTGAGGTGGTAGTGACTGCTGTGGTGTCCCCTTGTGGTAATGTTGTTGCTGTTGTAAGACCACTCATAAGGCCTTGTGTCCGCTTAGCAAGAGCCTCTCTACGGCTTCGTTCCTCCTCCTATGGTGTAGGTACTTGATATTATTACTAGTAGTAGTAATAGTACTAACCTCTCTACGAAGCCTTTCCTCGTCAATCTTCTTCTGTTCTTCCATCTTCTTCCTATCTTCCTCTTGCCTTAACCTATCTAACTCTGCTTCCCGTCGTCGACGTTCCTCATCATCCATAGTATGTGGTGGTGGCGGCGGCGGCTGTTGTTGCTGTTGTTGTCTATGGCTTCCAACACCCATCCCTGAGGTATATAACTAGTTAGGGAGTAGGAGGGCAGCGCCGACGGCTATCTACCAGGAGGCATTATAATCTGTCCTCGAGATCCGCGGGCATCAGTTGTTGAAGTAGTACGACTACCACCCGTTGTACTAGAGGATGATCTTTTAGAGGAAGGTAGTAGGTAGTTGCCTAGGCTCCCATCAATAGCATCAACAGTAGCCTTCTGTAAGACCTCCACTTTGGTGGATAAAATGTCCAATTTAGCATTAGTAGTAGAGAATAACTCTACTATACGACCTAATGTAGGAGGAGAGGAAAAAGGGATAGTAGGTATTCATAAGAGTAGGATGTACTAAGAAGCTGCTCCTGACGACGTGTAGATTCCAATAACATCTTCATGTAATTCTCTGACTCAGCCATCGACTTAGTTACTACTCCTGATACCTGAATACCATTATACTAGGACTACCATGACTATCATAACTACTTACTGCAGTAGTGGCAGTATAAGGAGGATCAGATATTGGTGTCCTCTGCGTAAAACTAGTGCTGTAGTAATCCTCT